ACTTCCTTCCTTGCACTCCCCCAGCCATCCCAGAGGGCTGGAGAGCACTTCTGGATGAAAACCTTCCTGGCACAGGGGCATTTCCGTGCTCTGGGAGCTGGGGGTGCCTCTGATGCTGCAGGGAGAGCAGAGGTGACCCAGGTGCCACTCCCTGGCCAGGTGCTGTCCCCTCCCGTGGCACACAGGTACCTCCAGCAAGACCCTGTGTGTGTCCCCAGTGCCACCAGCAGATCCTTACCCAGTCCTGAGGGGCTGGGCCCTCTTTAATGGCTCTCACATGGGTTAAATGAGCAAAAACTCCGGGGTGGGGCTGAGCTTGTCCAGCCTCCCCTTCCCAGGTGAAGCACACTTTTCCCCACAGGCAGCACCCAACAATATTTGCTTTTTCTGGGCATTCAGGCCATTTCTGGGCCTGAGGAAAGGACAGAAATGCTGAGCCTGACCTCCCCTGGCACCAGCTCCTTTCCCCCCATCACTGCCATCCCTCCTGCAGCCTTAAATTGAACCTCAGGCTGGTTCTCTCCCCCACAGGCCTTGCCCTTCCTCCAGTGACAGCAGCAGAAGTTTTCATCCTGCTTGGAGCAGCAGAAAGGAAATTAAAAGGGTGATAAGGGAGCTCCTTCAGCAGACAAGGGAATATTCTGTGCTAGCAGGGAGATAAAGGAATATTTCTTCCAGCTCTGGCAAAGGCACAGAAATGAGACGTGGGGTGAAATTCCACATTTATCGGGATTTTATAACTCTTACCTGGGCTGCAGGATAACCATCAGCCTCGCTCATATTTCCTCGTCACAGGAGGTCACGGCAGCACAAAGAGAGGGAAGGAGTCTATAAGGAGAAGCCAGATTAGCTCCAGTATCCAGGATCATTTTCTGGCTTTGCTCGCCCAGGTCAGCCCAGGGCGATGGGTGCTGCCTTTGGGTGCTTTTCTAACACCCCCTGTCCATCACGAGCCAGGACAGCTCCTCAGCTCGGTGTGAGAGGGTCTGCAGTGCCCTGTGACCCCCCAGAGCTGGATCTGACCCCTCCATGTCCCATCCCTGGAGCCCTGGAGCAGGAACCCTCAGGGAGCAGGGGACAGACCCTGGGTGCTGCTCCCTCGTAGCTCTGGTGGGGTGCAGGGGGCAGGGAGCCGTGCCTGGAGGAGCCCGAGACCCCCAAACCATCAGCTGCCCCTCCTGTGGTGAGTGACCCCATCCCTCAGTGCCCCCCGAGCTCTGAGGGTGGGGCAGAACCCCAAAAAGGGACCTCACACCCCATCCTGCAGCTCAGGGCAGACCCATGGGGGCCCCACCTTGGCCTGGGCATTCCTGACCTTCACTGGGGGGGTTTGGTGGGAGAAGGGAAAGAGCAGGGATGTCCCAGGGAGAAGGAGCAGGGATGTCCCAGGGAGAAGAGAAGGAGCAGGGATGTCCCAGGGAGGTGAAGGGGAGCAGGGATGTCCCAGAGAGAAGAGAAGGAGCAGGGAGGTCCCAGGGAGAAGGAGCAGGGATGTCCCAGGGAGAATGAAGGAGATCAGAGATGTCCCAGGGAGAATTAAGGAACTCAGAGATGTCCCATGGGGAAGGAAGGAGAGTGGCTTCTCCTCCAGGCCTCTGGAATGAGGGGTTTGCCCTAAAACCCTCCCTGCAGCCACAGGGATGAGTGGGGGATGCTGTGGGATGTTCCCCCACACCCTACCCCAGATCCAGCATCCAACCATGGTCCCACTCCCTGGGACAGCTGCAGGACCACGGGGACACCACAAAGATGCCAAAATCCCCAGGAAAAAGCCAAGGAGTGCTTGAAGGATCTTTGCATTTTCAGCAGAGCTGAGGGGAGGCAGCTCAAAAGGAAAAGCAAAATCTGGAGCCACGAGCAAAGCAAGTCCTGCTGCCCCAGAGCCTGCAGCAGCTGCTGCCAATGTGTTAAAAAGGAAGGAAAAAAAAACAAAAACCAGCTCGGGCAGCCAGGCTGAGCACAGAGCAGTCAGGGCAAAGTATTCATGTTAAATTAAATTTTGCTCCAGGGCAAAATATTCACATTGAAATTTGTGCATCCTTCAAGTGAGGTGTCCCACCAAGCCACTGCCACCAGCTGAGTGGAGTCAGCAGCGTGGCTGAGGTGGCTTTGCCCACATTTCCTGGCTCCCGACCCCTCAAATCCACAGCAGATTTTTTTGGGAGGAACCTTTTGGCCTCCCCTGTCCCTGAGCTGGGGCCTGCTGGCATTGCAGAAATGCCTGCTAAAATAAACACCCCCTTGCCAGCTCACCCTTAATGCTGGAAAAGTGCTGGGATACAAACTGTGTTTATTTAATTATTTGCAGTTATTTGCACAGAAAAGCACAGGAATCCCCCAAAAGTGCTGGGGGTCACTGGGGCTGTGTGTGACTTCCACCAGGTCCCACCCTGGTGTGACCCCAAAACCTCGTGTGCGTCCCACCCTCCACCCACCTCAGGGAAATGCTGACTTTGGGGAAATCAGGCCCAGAAATCAGATTTCTCTGGGGTTTTTGCACTTCTCATTTTCAATTAAAGCACATTCTTTTAGTGACAATGTTTCATTATGCAGCATTGAACTGTATATTGTAATTAACCCGTGGTTAAAGAGTCTGGAGCTGTGAGGGGTCAGGGGTGCCTTTGAGGGTCCTCATGTCCCCACAGCTCTGGGGGAGGAATATTTCACAATTCCAGCAGCAAAATCCATCATTTCTCACCAAACCAACCCAACCCAGCCCACAGACACAATTTATTCACCACCTGCCCCGTTTTGGGAGGGTGATGAGGTCCCTCCGTGTCCTTCCCATCCTGGCTGGCACCGTGTGGGCTGGGCCTTTAGAAATCTTTTAACCCTTTAGGAATATTTTAACACTTTAGAAATCTTTTAACCCTTTCGGAATATTGTAACCCTTTAGAAATCTTTTAACCCTTTAGGAATATTTTTTCTGGGATTTTTTGCTGGCAGTGCCTCAGAGCTGGTGTGTCCCCAGTGCCATGGAGGGCTCTGCTCAGCCCCAAACCCCAGAGCTCCATGCTGGGAGCATCCCCAGGGATTGCTCCAGGCAGATTCTCCCCTCAGCTCCTTCCTTGCTAGTTTTAATTTAATTTTATTTTATTTCCCCACTGGCAAGGGGTGGGGAGACATCCCAAGATCCCCAAACCTCAATGCTGCCCATCCAGTGACTGGAATTCAGGCTCACAAACTTTTAATAACAAAATTTAAAAAAAACAACCCCAAACCCCCAGAATAAATGGCAAAGTAACTCACTCAGGCTCCTTTTTTTGTTGTTGTTGTTGTTGTTGCTTTCTTCATTTTCAAGCCCACCAAGGAGCAGTTCAGCCCCACCCTGAGCTATCCTTCCTCCAAAGCAAACAAAAAAAAAGCCATACTCCTTTTAAAGAACTTTTTTTTCATTTTTTATTGATTTCATTGAAAACAGAACAAGAAAATGATCAGAGCCAAAAGGCTGCCCCTTTAAAACTGTCAAAAACATTAACAGAAAAAAATAATAATAATAAACATGATGGCATTATGAATGTTCTAGAAGAGATGAACAAAAAAAAAACAAAACTTGTTACTGCACTAATTACAGTATTTAAAGATATATGCAAAAAAAAAAAAAATTAAGATAATGACCTGCCCAGCCACCACACAAAAGGTGATGGCAAATTTATTCACACTACAATACTAACAATTTAAAAAAAGTTTTGTTTTTTTTCCTGCATTTTTATACTAAAATCACTTTGTTCTTTTTATACAATTGATAAGTTTATATTCACGTGGTGAGCAAAAATCACACCAGAATCAGCACCGTTTTGTTTTGTGGTTTCTTTTTGTTGTCATTTTGGTTTTTTTTGGTTTTTTTGTAGGTTTTGTTGTTTTTTGTGGGTTTTTTTTTAAGCTTTTTTTTTTTCTCTCACGTTTTTAATGCTTGTCCCCGATGTTTCAATAATGGTAAAAAATAAATCAGTTTATTGAAACCTCATAACGTGTGGTTTAAAAATCAATCCAAGGTGCCCAGCGTGGAGCAAAGGGATGGGAATAGACGAGCTGGTGGCATCTGGGATCTTCTCGCCGTGACACGTCTGTCCTCCCCAGCCAGTCCAGGTCCTCTATAATATATATATCATTCATTTTATCTTTAAAAAAAGTGGGGGGGGAAAACTGGTTTTCTTTAAGAATTAGTGTCTTGTAAAATCCTCTTCAGCCTTCTTTCTCTAAAACCACTCATGGGATGGGGTGAGGGAAATTCCTTCACGGAGGAACCCAACACTGAGACAGGAGCAGGGCGTGGACCAGAGCTGGTTTGATGGAGAAAATCCAGGAGAGAGCCAGGGATCACAGGGACTGGAAAGATTCTGGGATTCTTCTCATCAGATGAGAAAAAAGCCGTGGGGTTTGGAGAGAATTGAGGGTATTTGTAGGGCCCCACCACAACGTCCTGCGAGATGGGGGAGGAATTATTCATTCATATATTAAAAAAAAAAAAAACAACAACAACCAAAAAACCAACCAACCAACCAAAAAACCAACCAAACCAACAAAAAACCAACCAGCACAACCTGCCCTGGGGCTGTGCCAAGCAAACCCAGAGCCAGCTCCCTCTCAGAAAGGAAGTCCCATCAAGTATCCAGAGTTCACTGTGGCTGAGCTGGGGGTGAGTGGCGGGAGGGATCCAGCACGCAGCGACATTCGAGGACGGGCGGCTCTCCCTGCCTCTGACAACACTCAGCACGTTCAGACAGGAGGCCAGCACAGCTCGGGTGGCAAAAAAAAAATGCAACAGCCACCCCTGCACACACACAGCTGTGAAACCCAGCAGCTTTCCAGGAGCAGGGAGGGGAGAACAACATCACGGAGGTGGGATTTGCTTTCACTCCTTCCTCAAGTAACAGTCGGTGGCACAGCCCTAAGTGTCACAAACCCTTGGCTTTCCTTGAGCGGGTTTTTTTTCTTTTTTTTTTTTTTTTTTTTTTTTTTTTTTTTTTTTTCTTTTGTTTTTTTTTTTTTTTTTTTTTTCTCTCTTCTCGCTCTTGAAGTGGAAATTCCGACAGCAGGTGTGTCTCGGGGGTGGGAGGGGTCGGTGTCAGAAGGGGCCGGCGGCGGCGGCCGAGCTGGTGTCGGGGAGCCCGTTCTCCTGCGTGTCCTGGGCAGAGGTGCTCGCCTGCCGCTGGGCCAGCGCCGAGCTCGAGTGTTTGCACTTGGGTGAACCGCACTGACAGCTGAAGAATTTGCCTTTGATGTCCCAGAACCTGTCCCCGTAGTCGAAGCTGCAAGAGAGAGACGGGAGGGGTCAGTGAGCAGGAGATCGAAAGAGAACCTGGGATGGTTTGGGTGGGAGCAGCCTCAAGGATAATCCTGTTCCATGGGCAGGGACACCTTCCATTAGAGCCACATCCAGCCTGGCCTTGGACATTGCCAAGGATCCAGGGGCAGCCACAGCTGCTCTGGGCCTCACTGCCCTCATGGTTGAAGACTTCTTCCTTTATCTGATCCCATCCATCCCTGCCCTCTGGCAGTGGGAGCCATTCCCTGTGTCCTGTCCCTCCATCCCTTGTCCCCAGTCCCTCCCCAGCTCTCCTGGAGCCCCTTCAGGCCCTGGAAGGGCTCTGAGCTCTGCCTGGAGCTTCTCCTCTCCAGGTGAGCACCCCCAGCTCTCCCAGCCTGGCCCCAGCCCTGGAGCAGCTCCGTGGCCTCCTCTGGATCTCTCCAGCAGCTCCAGCTCCTGCTGATGATGTTCCCCAGGGCTGGGGCAGCTCTGCAGGTGGGGTCTCACCTGAGCACAGGGGCAGAATCCCCCCTCCTCTACTGCCCAGGCTGGGCTCAGCCCAGGGCAGGGAGTTCAGGGCTGGGAGCGGACACGGCCAGGTTGATCCCGGAGCTCTGCAAACTTCCGAGGGACCCTGGGGACAAAGCCCCGGAGGAAAGGGACGGAGCGGCCCAGCTGGGGAGCAGCAGAGCTCTCGCTGTGCCCGGCACAGGCGGGGTGGCACGTACCCGATCTCCTCTCCAGCCTCTATGTGCCTGGTGCTGAAGAAGGCGATGCGGGGGAAGCGCAGGTCCTGGTGGGACATGAAGACGCGCACGGGGATGAGGTTGGGCTCGCACAGGTGGTTGATGAAGCGGCTGATGTTGCCGTAGAAGCGCGCATCGATGCAGTAAACCTCTCCATCCTGGGGAGACACGGGGCAGCGCTCGTTAGGCACGCTAGCCTGGGGTTTATTGCCCTAAATAAATGAGCAGGCTGCTGCTCTCTGCATCAGCGCTGCAGAGAGCTCCAGGAACAGCCAGGGCAGGGCACTCACTGTGGGTCTGAAAGGACTGAAAACGCACACACAGACTTCTAGGTGCAATTTATATTCCAAAGTACCCTGAAACCAGAGTTTACTGCGCAGCACTCTGACCCCCCACACCCCAAGAGCTGTTTTTTAACACCCTGGCACACCAGTTCTCCCAGTCCAAGCACCAGTTTGGCACAATGGGGTTGATGCTCGGTGCAGGCACCTTACTGGTACCAGCCCCTGGACAGGGGAACAGGCGTCTGTTCTGTCCTCTAATTGAACATGACAGCTTGGAAACACAAAGCCAGAGCCTTGAGAAAACACAGGGTTTTGCAGATAAGAGTGAAAGTGAGAACATAAAAATTCCCTTTCCAGAGAGCCCAGAGAGCAGTAATACTTTGTTTTCCTTGAAAATAAAAGAACCCCCCTCAGGGCTTTTTTATTCCAGCAGAGAATGACTGTGCAAAGCAGAGGCTTTAATTACAGAAGCTAATTTCAGTTGCAAAGAGGCCAAAAGCAAAAGGATCCATTAGTGGTGCTCCAAGTCCCTTTTGGACAAGCACCTCGGATCGTTAATGGATGTGCTGTGCCAGGTCACACTCGGGGGTGCAGGAGCCCAGGAAAACATCCCCAGAACTGGGGGAGGCATCACCCCAACGGGCCTCGAGCACACACGGTGCCACCAGCTCTGATTTCATAAATCAGTGATTTCACTCCCTCCATTTCATCCACAGAAATGCCATGGTGGGGCAGGATGACAGCACCCACACCCACAGCAGGACCACCCACACCCACAGCAGGACCTGGGACACTCCAGGATCACCTCGCATGGGGCTGTGAGTGACAATTTAAGAGACAGGGACAACAGAAAGCAAAACCCAGACAAGAGAAATGGCAACCCAGATAACAGAAATGACAGCCCAGCCCCTCTCACCACAGCCCAAGTCCACTCAAGCCAAGACACACCAGGACCTCGAGGCCCCCCAGGGTTGGGATTCACACCCTTGCAATGCCCCATCACTCTGGAGGACACAAAACCTGCTGCCTCTGCCCTGCCCCTCTCTGTCCAGCCTGATGGGCAGCTTTAACCAGCCCCAATGATTTGGTGCCTGCTTTTCTCCAGATGCTCCACCTTGGTCTCCCTTCCTGCTTCCCTGAAGGATTCCCAGGAGCCAGCACAGAGGTTCTCCCTCAGGGTTGCCAGTCAGGGCTAAGGAAGAGGCAGGGCAAGGCCCAGGTGGGCTCTTCCTGATAAATCAGGCTAAAGTCCTTTTCAACTTCTTAGTTACAGTCTGACCCCCTGTTTGCACACCAAACTCATTATTTATCTTTTCTCAGCTCTTGAAATGTGTGTTGCTTTAAAAAAAATAAGAGGAAAAAAAAATAAATCAAAGCTTCTTCGTCACAAGCTGATGACAGAAACAAGGCACAGAGTGTTTTACAGTCTTCCTTGGAAGCCTCCCCACTCCTGTGAGTCCCCAGCTCACTTTTTCTCACTTCTCCTTTCCCAGAGGGAGCCTGAAGTCATGCCCTTGCTTAAAACTTTGAGATTGTACTTTGCAAATCAAAATTTCTGCCCTGAGAGCCCTCACAGAGCAGAGCAGGGGAACAAACAGCAGAACAAGCCCCTGCCAGGGTGCCTGATGGATCCTTCCTGAGTGAAGAGGGTTTGTTGGGTTTTTTTAAAAATCTTTCAGCTCATCACCACTTCATGAAGAACTCACAGAGCTGCCAGGCACACAGGTGCCAGGCTGGGAGTACCAAAACCTGGATAACTGACCTCAGGATGCTCCAAGGGGTTGGACAGAAGAGCATCTTGCTCAAAAGTGGCATGGGCAGCACATGTTGGTTCTGCTGCCCTTTTAAGCAGCCCTAACTCTCACCTCAACCACTTTTCCACTAAAGCACAGCAGCTGTGCTCTCTGCAGGGTTTTGCTGCACATCAAGATGGAGACAATCATCCTCTGGGCTCTTTGGAGGAGTCAGGGCCTGGGGTTTGTCTGGTTGGACACTGCAGACAGTACCTTGTTGTCCAGGTCGAAGAGGTAGGAGTCCTCCTCCCGGACATCGGCCTCGGAGTCGGAGATCAGCTCCCCAACGTACCTGTTGATAGTAAAAGGGTTTTAAAATCATGGGGATTTAGGGTTAAAAGGAAAAATAAGCTTAGTAGGCCCTGGAAAAATAAACACCCTAAGTACATGAAGAACTTGTACTTGCTAGAACTGCACCTGTGAAGCTAGTACATGATAAATGATATAATTGTTAGATGTGATGATTGTTTAGTAATTATATATAATTACTGTTTAATCATAAGAATAATCACGAGAAACTGTGGTCAGGGGCCTAAGAAAGATCATGAGAAACTCATGTCAATGTATACAATAGAAAAATATGAGTTTAATAATATGTAAGTTATATAAGGATGTAATATAAAATATGTTCAGCTCGAAAGCTGTGTTGGAGTCAGATTTGGGTTTGTACCCCTGATCCCAGAGCTGTCAATAAAAGCACCTGCAGATAATCATATCCTGTGATTATGTGTGCTCCTGAATGCTAACACTGTGGGCACAGGGACAGGCAGCAATGTCATCACAGGTTCCAACACCTCTTTCTGAGGAGAGAGAAACAGCCCAAAATGCAGCCCGGGCACAGATGGACAGCCACAGCCACAGTGCTGGCCAGCTCCAAGCCACCAAACTGAGCTCTGTTAACTCCCAGCAGTGAGAATCCGGCTCCAAACTCCACCTCTTCAGAGCAACACTTAAATAATATTTTAAATTACATTAATGATATTATAACCTATTTAATATTAAAATTTATTTATTTTCTCCTGAGGACTAAGTTTCCTTTTGCAAATCTCTCTGTTGGCCAAGATCAACACATGAATCCAAGTCTCCTGAAGTTCCTGGTCAGACTCAGGCTGTGCCACAGCCACTGCAGTGCTCATGCTGTTCACACCCCAAAACGAAACATTTGTGTCTGCCCCTCATGCATTTCCCAGGATATTTTGAGCAATTATAGGCTACACAACTTCAAAAGTTTTGGTTGTAAGTCTTAGGTCTAACCTAACGTGGCAGGATACCTGGATCCCTTCTAAATCCCTCCTGAACCAGGATAAATGTGAGCTGTGGTCCCAGAAACAGCCACCCTGTTGTAAAACCAGGACACAGGCAGGTCCTCCACGGAGAATGAGGCAGGTGCTGCTTGGCCTGGGCTTGCTGAGAAGGACCACACAGCCAGAGAAATCTGGGTTTGATACAAACCCCCTTGCTGCAGGAGTTCCCACAGCACTGGTGTTCCCACCTCTGTCTCCCTGTTTCCATTTTAATTGGTTTTGGACTGTCAACTGTGGGAATCCAGAGCTTCCTTCTGGCTGTCCTGGCAGGTCTGGGACCCTGGCAGGGGTCAGGAACCCCCCTGGACAGAGCCCCCAGAGACACTGGCTGTGATCTCTGGCCATGGAAAAGAGTTTTCAATCTTACAGGATGAATTACCAACTCTTGAGTGTTTGATATAAGTCATAATTAAGTGTGGCACGGGTGCAAAAGTAAAATTCTAGGATTCTAGATGAGGGGTGCAAAGGGGACAAGATAGAAGAAATTGGGTGTGCCTTGTCCTTTTTCTCCTTCTTCATGCCCTCCATGTCTCACTGTGGTGTTGGCATTTTTCTGTTGGTTCAGGCTGGGGACACACTGTCCAACGTAGGTGACAGATATTGGCACGTTCTTGTAAATGCAGCCCAGGGAGTTTCTGGTATTTAATGTTTGTAACATCCCACTGAGGGCAGAGCCCCACACGCTGCCCTGCAGGACAGAGCTGGGCAGGGCAGCAGAACATGTGAGAGATAAACAGAATAAACAACCTGGAAACCAGCACAGACCAATTATGGCTTCTGCTTTGGCAGCGGGGCTGACAGACAGAGACTTTCTACAATCTCAGGATCATCAATACCTCAGATTCCGACAGTCAAGGTTCAACACTTCCTGCCCTGAGCTGCTTTAGTCAAAGGAAGAAACTCAGAGTGGAGGGACTGAGGGAGGGTGTGAGAAAAAAACAGCAGCACAACAGCTTGTCAAGTGTCCAAGGCCAGGGTTTGGAGCAATCTGGGATACTGGAAGGTGTCCCAGCCCATGGCAGAGATGGGATTTAAGGTCCCTCCCAACCCACCCCAGTCTGTGTTTCTGTGAGGTTAATATGTAAGTGTTCCAAGCCTGCAGTGAAACAGTGATTATTTCAAGCAAAGGATTCACCACATGGATAAATATTCTTTGCAGCATCAACAGAACTTCCATAGCCAGCAGTTGCTCTCACAGCATTCCTGCAGCCCTCAGGCATATTCCAAGTGTTAAACAACTGCCTCCAATCCCCCAGGGCTCAAGGCAGCATTTAACTCCCAGGCTGGGGAGGAGGAGAGCCAGGAAACATGAGCCTGGAGAGGATCCCTGCACTCTGTGACCAGGGATTTTTGGCTGGGAGCCTCCTGTTTGCCCTCACTGCTCCACTACTGGAAATCACCCACTCCTTGGAGGCCTAAAGCATAGAAAGGTGGCCAGAGAGGAAGGGAAATTGCTGTGGAAAGGCCCAGCAGGCAGCAGCAGCTGAGAACAGCTGAATAATTCTGCTCAAAGAGGCCCTTGCCCAGGGACAGCCACTGCAGGTTTATAATTCCATGAAATAAAATACCACAATCAAATTAAAAATCGTTGGTTTAATGCTCCTTTCAAGCCTATTCCTGTAACTCATTTCCTTTCCAGGCTGTTCAAAGTTACTAACAGGTCCCTGCTTTTCCAGGCCCAAAGTTAGGGAAGGGTGTGCTAGAGGTGCATGTTCCTCCCAAAAACCAGCAGGAGCCCCTTCATTTAAGAACTCCTGTGGTCAAGGCAGTGTCTTTCTCCCCAGCAGGATGTTCAGCACACTGATGGCAAATAACTCCATCCCAGAGCTTCCCAGGGCTGCCCATCACTGCTCCAACAGCCTCGAGTGAGCTTGGGACAGATGATCTTGGAGGGCTTTTCCAACCTGAATGATTCTGTGATCACAGGGGACTTTGTGCAAAAACCCAGAGCAAGGAGCAGTCCCTAGCACAGGCTCCAGTGTTTGCCACAGGATGTGGGAGACAGGAGGCCTGGGGCTTCTCTGCCTGGAGACAAACACCTGGCTTGATGCAGCTGGTACCTTCCTAAAGCACCACTGGAACAGAAAGCAAGTATTCAAAAACCATAAATGGATGCAAAAGGAACAGACCAGATCCTCTGGTTTCTGCATCCCACTAATTCCCAGCCTCTCCAACAAAAGTCAGCAGCAGCTGTGCTGTTTGCACAAGGAGCAGCTCCACCACCTACCAACCAGGCATGAACAGAACAGATTCAACCCAACCCACAGCAGCAGCAGCACAGGGTGAGCAACAGCAGCTTCTGAACAGCACCAAATTCTGAGGCCAGGGAGAAACCTGCCCATGAGCACAGCCCTGAGGGGCTGCAGAGCCTGGAGGCTCCATGGGAGCCCTGTGGGACAGGAGGGTGGCACTGACACACCTCCCCTTGTGAGGGCTGTCCTAGAACAGGGACTGGACAGAGCTACAGAATAAAGCAGGGATTTATTAAAGCATCTCCTCCATGGATCCACCTTGGGCAGCACCAGAGCCCAGCCAGGGCTGCACCCAAATGACCCAAAATGGTCCCAAAATGCACGAGCGCTCCCGGGGCTCTCCCTGGGATCAGTTCTGCTCCATTGGCACCTTGGAGTTCATTGTCCCATTCCAGCTTCAGCCCAGGCAGTCCCATCCTGCTTGTTTTTCTCTCTCCAGCCCACGCTGTTTGTGCTCCTGGGCTGAGATTTGGATCATTTGTCCTTGGTGCCCAGCTGGAGCAGGAATTGTTTTGTCTCCCTGCTCTGTGCAGAGCTCAGCATCCCCTCATGTGAAGCCCAGACCCACAGACTAAAGCAGCAGAGAATGTGAAAAATAGAAAAGCTGAAACCTGAGGCATCACCCTTGCCAAGCTGCTGCTTCCAGGGCTGTGCAGAAGGGACAGGAGGCAGCTAGAGTCACAGAATCATCACGGTTCAGAAAGACCTTCAGGACCATTGAGTCCAGTCATGAACCCAGCACCACCAACATCACCCAGACCACGTCCCCAGCTGCCACTTCCAGATGCCTTTTGAACACTTCCAGAGGTGGTGACTCCAACAGCTCCCTGGCCAGTGCCTGATCACTCCTTCAGCAAAAAGCTGAAGGAAATCACATCTCTGATTGAAGCTCCCCTGGTGCAGCTTGAGGACATTTTTCCTTGTCCTTTCACTGATTCCCTGGGAGCAGAGCCCGACCCCCCGGCTGTCCCCTCCTGTCAGGAGCTGTGCAGAGCCACAAGGTCCCCCCTGAGCCTCCTTTGCTCCAGGCTGAGCCCCTTCCCAGCTCCCTCAGCCTCTCCTGGTGCCTGTGAAGAGTTACAAGATAAAGGTCACACCAATACAATCATCCTTCCAAAGCTGAGCAATAACCACAGGACACAGCAACTGCCCACCCAGGGCTCTAATCCAAATGTTTAACACAAAATGCTCTTCCAGAGAAGCTGATGCTGGGATCTGCTCTGTCCTGGCAGCCCCAAGCACTGCCAGCACTGGGGCTGCTTTCCAGAGAGGAGGAAAGGAAGGAACAGGTCTATGGGATGCTCATCGAGAATCACAGGAAGGACCCATGGAGCCGAGGGCTTGAATTTGAAGAGTGAGAAAATGAGTGTGTGACAGAGCAGGAATGTGCACGGGCACGACATTAATTAGCTCAGCTGTTTAGTAAGCAGCTCATTTAGCTAACGGAGATAGTACCCAGCAGTGAAGCAGTGCCAGCAGCTCCTGGCAAGGCTGGGGGCAGCCAGGCTGTGGGATCTGCACCCCCTCAGCCCCACGTGCTCTGCAGTGTCTGTGTTCATCACCCCCTCCCTGGGCTGCCTGCTCCTCCTGTGTGCTGGCATCCCAGCAGCACCTGCTGAAGCCACTGCCTTTTCTCCTTGGGAGCAGTTACTCACAGGCTCTGGCCTGTTCCTGGCCCTGCACCACACCTCTGGGACCTGTGGCACTTAGGGACAGCCCTGCATAAGGACAGGCCCCAGAGACAGCAGCTTTTGGCTTCATCTCTAAAAAAATATTTTAGCAGCTGGCAGCTCCTGACACAGAAGAAATACTTGGCCAATTATCTTTTTCTTTATTTTTAGTTTTAAATACTGCAATAATCTTCCTCAATCCCCCACCCAACTCCATAACACATCAATAACTAGTTCTAAAAACCACCAGCACCCATTTCCAGGATGGACATGAGTGCAGCCTAATTTAGTAGATGCTCAGTCACTGTAATATTGCAATGAAGGAAACACTTTCCAAACTATTTAATAAAGTACATATACAACTTGAACCTCAAACTGTGGGGTCTGATGACAGGTTTTTCACTTGACATAAATCTGAACATTTCTGTGCCTAAGTACTTTATTGACTCAGGGCCAAAACATGTGCTTCACCCCAAGTGCTTCCTTGTTTTGCTGAATCAGACTAAAGCCAGAGCTTTGACACTGGAAAACCTCTGGAGAAGTCAGGATTGAAGCAGAGGAAGTTGTTCCACTGCCCTGGCCTGCAGTGTCCCATATCTGTGGCAAACATGGGAGTTGAGCACATTTTGCAGCAAAACCCAAAAATGTTTTTCCCCCATCACTTGTGTTTCAAACGGAGAAAAGCTGAGCACAGATCCCAGCAAAACAGAGGGCAATGGAGAAAGCTCCACACTATGAAAAGAAGGACAGACAGCAGGAAATGGAGTCAGGAAACCTCTGGCTGAGGGCAGGCAGCTGAGCTCAATGCCAACTTGATTTACATGAAAACCTCTCCTTGAAGGGAAGCAAACCATGTGTGACCTGGTGAAGTGCTGGGGTTGCTGGGATGATGGAAGCTGCAAAACTTACTCCTGGATTTGGGAAGTGCTGGGTTGCTGGGCTGGTGAAAGCTGCTCAGCTCACTCAGGGCTGGATTTGGGAAGTGCTGGGTTGCTAGGATGGTGAAAGCTGCACAGCTCACTCAGTACAGGATTTGGGAAGTGCTGGAGCTGGTGAAAGCTGCTCAGCTCACTCAGGGCTGGATTTGGGAAGTGCTGGGTTGCTAGGATGGTGAAAGCTAAACACCTTACTCCTGGGTTTGGGAATGGATGATGGAAGCTGCACAATTCAGTGCTGGATTTGGGAAGTGCTGGGTTGCTGGGATGGTGAAAGCTGCACAACTTACTCGCAGACAAAGGTTCCCAGAGGAATGTCCTGCATCGTCCGCACTCCCCAGCCCATCTTTTGTGTCCTGTAAAGCTGCAACCGAGTCCTGGAAAAGAGGAAAAGAGGAAATGAAGCCACACTGATGACAGCACTCCATGGAAAGAATGAATTTTCATGGAGAGATGAGCAAAAAGCCAGCACCTTCCATCAGCACACACTCCCAGAGGATTTTAATATTCACCCTCCCATTCTCACCCTGCAGGGATGCTCCACTCCCACAGCTCCCAGCTGTGGACAGATGCTGGCATGGAAACAGCCCAGAGACAAGGGACAAGTGCCAGTCAGCCCCTTCTGCCTGCCCAGGTGCACACCAAGGGGCTGGGGAAGAGGGGACAGGGTGGGTGCTCTGTGTGATGATGATTTACAGAGGCTATCAGGATCCCACCAGCAGCATTTCCTTCCCCTCCACACAGCCCTGGAGGAAGCAGGGAAGGTGGAAGGGGATTTACAGCTGAGGAGGAAGGCAGGGATCTCCCAGGGACTAAAGAACACCTTGAGCTAAGTGCTCTGACCCCTCTGCCCTCTGCCAAAGCCAGGGCATTCAGCAATTCCATCATATCCAGCTGCCTGGCTGAAAGACAAGAAAGAAAAGCTGCAACTTGAGACTTCTTGGTGTAATAGCTGCTCTGTGGAATTTTACTGATGGGGCTTATAGGCAGAGAAACAATCCTGTAAGTCATTCTGCCTCCTGCTCAGCCAGAACCTGAGTTAAGTGCAGGATGAACAGTCTCCAGGGCTAGGAAAAGCTTGTTCTATCCCTGAGGGAACCAAAACCCACTCTCAGCAACGCTGTTATTGGAATTAAGTGAAATCTGATGCTCACCTTAACTTCACCCTGTTGCTTTTCCCAGTACTTCTCTTCCCCACACCCACTCCCTCCTGCACTGTCAGCTCAAACCAAGGGATGTGAATTTTATCCTGTTTGCCCACAGCTTCACCAGGACAAACCATGACCTCAGGGGAGTGATTGCTCTCAGAGAAGCAGGGTCTAACACTGGGTTTGGGGCTTGGGGAAGCCCCCCAGCTTTTGGCTTGTCCATCAGAGCTCAGATCTGGGCTCTGCTCTGGAGCCAGCACCGGCAGCAGTGGGGCCGTGGCTGAGCTGAGCCTGCCAGCTGAGCTGGGCCAGGCTGCCAGCTGGATACGTGTGCTCTGCCAGGCAGAGTTAATTTGGAGCCAATCTGATAAAGGAAGCACTGAAAACAAAGCAGCAGCACCCCTGTGTCAGCTGCAGCCCCAAGGCAGGAGCCTTGCCCACTGCCACCCCAGGGACCACGAGCTCTGCCCAGCACCTGACCCTCCTTCCCAGCAGAACTGCTCTCCTCAGCTCATGTTGGGTTCCCAGCCCTTCCCATCTTTCAGAAAAAAAAAAGAAAAAACTTCAGCAAGGCAAAAAATGCAAAAGCAACAGCTCTATCCGTACAGCTCCTGAAAAAACACCCACGGAGGCACCGGAGCTTGGCAGGGAAAACCAGAGAGAGGTAAAGTTCTGAAGAAACACATCAAGTTTCTTCCCTGCTTATTTTTAACAGTGCAAAATGTCATTGCAACTACAAAGCTTGCAAAAAGAGTGTTGTCAGCACTACAAAGAAATTCTAAAAAGTTGGGGTTTTTTTCCCAGTGGGATACCTTTGAATTTAGTGCAGTGGCAAACTCCTCTATAGCAGTCCAAACCAAAACATTGACATTTTTAGCCAGGCACCAAAATCCCAGCAGCCTAACCTGGAGCAGCAAGGCCAACAGGCATTCAGGTATCCAACTCAGTGGCAATCGTGCCAAGAACTTGTAAATTTTAAGCAGCCAAGTCTGGGCATGCTGGCCTGTATTTCTAATCTAGAGTACTGGTTTACAAGATCTCCTCAATTCAGATTCTGCAGCTCTGTTGCTGTCATGTCCTTCTCAGCTCTCCCCGAGACACACTTGGGCTGTGCATGCAAATCCACAAGCCATTTGTATGTTTTATGGTCAGCTGATGAAAGAACACTGCAGTTCCCACCTGATGGTGCCATGGGCAGGCTGCAGATATTAACTGAGATGTTAATTGAGCTCATCAACCCACTGCTGCTCCATTCCCACTGGCAGCATGCAGGAACCCACTTCCATCCCACCAGCTCCAGTTTCCATGCTGGGTTTTGTGGGATTATGGGGGAGCTGAGAGGCAGAAGGCTCATGGGTTTGGGGTACAGACATTTCAGAGCAGCTGTGTTTGCCCCTCGTGCCCACCTGAGGCCGTTCTGCACCACGCGGTTCCTGCAGGTTCTCCAGCACGAGCACGCGTGGTTGCACTCGAAGATGAGGGGGGGCTCAGCCATGTTGAACTCAGGCAGGAGTCGGCCATCCTGAAGGAGAGAACCGCCCCAGATTGGGTTATTTGTCTGCTCCTGGGATCCCCAAAACCACAGGCAGAAATTCCCCCCAGGGTAAAAACAGGCCAGAGAGCCCCAGGTGAAGTGATGCCCCAGGCTCCCCAAACCCAGCGTCAGAGCTCAGGTTCTGCAGGGGTTTTGCTCTACCCTGACAGCAGCAGAGTCACCACTGTCACCCACAGCTGACAAACAGCCAGAGAATTTTGATTTTTGCTGCCTGCCATCACCCTACACAGCATTTAAAAAAACACTCCTAGTGCTGTGCAGAAAATTGGTGTGCATCATCATCATTATTGCCATTTGCTGTGCTGGAGGGGAGAGTGGATGCTTAATCTGCCTCTGGAATAAAGCCTGAACTTGCAGAGTCCAAGGCCAGTACACCCAAGTTCTGTGAATCACACTACCTTCCTAAATAACACTCCCAAAAAAACCTTCAACTCAGTTATTTATCAACAAACAGAGTTAAGGAAGTGATGGATACAATTTATCATATTTAACAAATTTGGCTTTTAAGGCTTGAGAGGTGCAATCACCTATTAATGTGTAAATAAAATGGCTACAAAGCCAGTAAAGATACCAACACTCCTCCTGGGAGAAACTTGCAGAGATTCACAGAACTTCTCATCTTTGTAGCACCTGTCCAAAGACGAATCTCAAAACCTCCCTGGAGAGTGGAAGCATTTACCCAAAACACACCTGACTTCTGCCAACGTGGCAGTGAAAACATCTTTACTCTGCCTTCATCCAGAAGAATAACAATAAATAAAAGCAGATAAAAAAAATTCTCTTTCTACTCCCCTCCCTTTGTTTACATCTTACAGCACTTTCCACGTTGCTCTGAAATGGAAGCTGATTTCACGCTTGGATTATTAAATGCTCCCTATCACATGGATGTAATTAATGGCTCAGTTGGCACGAGAGGAACACAAATAAATAACACAAGAAAAGCTGCCCTGAGCAGGCAGTTTGAGATTATCACGTCTCAGAGCTGAGACTATAACTTCAGGCATTTTAAGTCAAGAAGAAAGGAGTTGGATTTACAGAAACAGGGAATGGTTTGGGGTGGAAGGGGCCTTAAAGCTCAGCTCATCCCAACCCCTTCCATGGGTATGGACATCTCCCACTGGAGCAGGGTTGCTCCAAGCCCTGTCCAACCTGGCTTTGAGTTGTGCAAGGAACTGAATTAGGCAAAATTCATCTCCCAGGCCCTGGTGTGAGCCAGGAGGGGGCTGTGTGTCCTCACCTTGTCGTACCAGCAGCGCATGCTGAGCTGGCCACACATGCAGTTACTGGAGGAGCAGTCGTCTATACAGACACAATACTGCAAGAGAAGCAAAGGGTTAATTCCACACCACTCACACAACTGAGACTGCAACTGGTGACTGGGTCAGGAAACCACATCTCCTCCTCCTGCTGCAGCTCCTGGGCCAGAGGGATCACCAGCTTCACCAATCAGTGCCAGTTCTACTCCATTGTTTATTTCTGTGTGCAATGAGCACCAAAGGACTCTACCTTGCACGAAGGATCTCATTCTGAGCCAGTCTCACTGCTCAGGGGAGGGTGTTGTAACCCTGTTGTAACCCTGTTGTAACCCTCCCCCATGCCCTGTGAGCTGTTCTCCACACCTGAAGACAAGGAAAGCTCCAAGGAGGGACCAGAGCTGGGAAATGATGCAGTTGTCTCCAGCTGATGCTTCTCCAGCATCCCCAAGCCAGCACAGCCCTGCCACCAGGCTCCTGCACAGAAGGGACTGGCCCAGGAAAGGTCACTTCAGTCACCTCAGAGCTGTGGCCTCACCCTCACCCTGAACTTTCTCTGCTTTCCCACCCAGCCCTTCCAGGACTGCAGGATCACAGCCAAGACCTCGGCCTGGCTGCTGCAGTCCATGGGAAGGCAGCATGGGGAAGGTCTCCCAACAAATCCAACTCTGCAGCCTCAGAAGAGAGGACAAGGGTAAATGGGAGCCACATCAGCCAGCACCAGATGGCCAATGCTACAGCTGAACACAGAGCTCAGCTTAAGCCTCAAAACTGAAGAAAATCAAAATCCCATCTCCTACAACAAGAGCTGGAGGTGAGACACTCAACCTTAGCTGGAATTTGATGGCAATATCAGGACTCAACATTCCCATCTGGAATGCCAAATCTGTTCTGAGGAGCACTGCAGAGCCCAGAAGAGAAGAAAGCATAATCCCTCACCTGTAAATGAGTGATGTTCCTGTCAATGTCCATCGGGGAGGTGACACAGTTCTGTGACACGTATTTGTAATTGCTGGGACAGGGCTCACTGTCCACGGAATTGACACAGGGAATGGGGATCCTCTCGTAGCCCCGGGCAATGTCTCTGTCATGGAGAAAGAATTGTCACAGAAGGAAAGCCCCCCAGACAAGGGGCCATTCAAATGCCATCCTGGGGCACAATCACTGCCTTGGAGCACTGAGCACTCAAAGCCATTCAGACTAGAACAGAGGTTGTGTTTTCCCACCCTGCCTTACAGATGGCTCTTTGTGCTTGTGAGGATTTCCATTTGGAGGATGAATTTGCAAACCATGGACTGAATCAGCATGGGCTTAGTTCTTGCTGAGCTCACACTGACCTTCACACCAGTTTAAGAAGGTACACAGTTCTTTCTCAAACCGGGCCCCCAGCCTTCCCTGTGCGAGGGCTCCATTTCATGACCCACAAGCAAAGCCAGCCCTATTCTCACCTGCTCACCACCTTCTCTATCTGGGCAGGCTTCTCAGAAGAAGATTCTTTGAGAGTCTTGTTCATCTGTAGGGCCACCCAGACCTGAGAGTTAAGGCTGGAGCACTGGAGCGGGGTCTCACCCTCTTTGTTCTTTAAAGTGACATCCGAGCCACGGGAAAGAAAGAGACTGCAAAACAGCAAGGAAGGATAAGGATTCCCCAGGAGAAACCAGGCAAGGGGAAAACAAGCTGAATCACATCCTCCAGCCAGCCCTTAAGGGATGAGGAAGAATCTGTAGTAGTGAATAATCACCTGAGTTTGCTTTATTAAGCATGGTTCAGTGAATCCTTCTGACAGAAGCTCTGGGCACCCATGAGAGCTCTGGGCAAACCTTGCCTTGCTTCAGGTACCTTGCTGGTACCAGCCTAACTTCAGGCAGGCTTGAAACTCTCTCTGGCAGGGAAAGATATGGAGTGGGAAGAGCAGGCTGGAAATGGAAGAGCCCCATAGAAAACTGGTGGTGGACTTGGCCCTTGTTTATACTCACCAGCTTTTGGTGAGAACATGATGGCTTTATTCAGAGCAGGGATGAAGCAATAAAACAAAGGTAACAGGGCACCTTGTTACCATGCTAGTGGTGGGGAAAAAAAAGCTTTAATCAAGGAAGCCTGACACCTTCCTGCTGGGAAGCCCAGGCTGAGCACAGCCCCTCAGACTCCAAAACACGCCACATTTTCTGAGCAGCTCTGGCAGCAGCTGGTACCTCACACCCCTCACCCCTGGGAGAAAAACAAGCCCTCCATCCCAATTCTGGGCTGTGTGTAAAGACCAAAGACACTTGAGAGGCTCTCCTGAGCCTGCCAGGCAGCAGCCAGGGGGCAGGGAGGGTGAGCAGTGCACTTACACCACACACTCGTAGCGGTTCTCTCGTGCCGCGATGTGCAGGGGCGAGTCCCCGTGGATGTTCACGGCGTGCAGGTCACACTTTGCTGCCAGCAGGATCTCAGCTATATCAACACAGCCAGAAAAAGCAGCCCAGTGCAAACAAATGTTTTCCTCCTGGAGGGAAAGAAAACGGAGAGGAGATTGTTTAAAACAAAACCCCCGTGGCTTTGGGGGTTCCTTCCTCAGCTCTGCACCTGCAGCGTTCAGTGTGTGGCTGCCATCCCCACCCTGCTCTGGCTGGCTGGGAATGCCAGGGTGGACAGGGAAACCTCAGAGCAGCCAAACAGGGAGTTCTCACTCCATCCAGCTCTGCACACCAAGGAGGGGGAGGCTGCACACAAGGCAATCCATCACCTTCCCTACACACACAGAGCTCGTCAGTCTCTGAGCCACAAACCAATCTAGATCAATCCAGGAAAGAGGTGACAGACATGAACAAACATGCTGGAAAAGGCTGGATGCTGGGTTTCCCCAGGTCCAACAGCCAGGAAAGCCACTGTGCCTCCCAGAGCTGCAAAATTAAGGAGAAAAAGAGCACAGCATGAAATTAAGGAGAAAAAGAGCACATAGGGTACGTGAAGGCACCAAAAAGAGAACCAGAAGCCATGGGCTAAGCAATCAATCTGACTCCAGGCATCTCTTAAATACTGTATGTACCCATCTCTCACTAGCAGCACTGGAAATAGCTGAACACTCATCTTTCTGAAGGAGATATTTTAAGGGATGATCCTGTTTTCTGTTACACTGCAATTTGCAGCACACGTCGATCCCTTCCCCATGACAGGCTCTAAAGATGTCGATGACAACAGTGAAATGATAGTAATGATCACCCAGCTATTCCCTCTTTTTCCTTCTTTTTAAAGCAAAAACAAAGCTGCTGCTGGAGTGTTTGAGCTGTTACCATGTAAATTAAGGTCCTGCCTTAAATAGGGAGCTACTGCCACACATCAGGGAGAGGGAGACACTCTTCTACCCAGCTCCTGCTTCCCTTTACAGTATCATCTAGCAAAACCCCATACAGTCTACAGAAAACATCCATCCTGTGGGTTGCACCCACATGCTGCAGCTCACACAGGTCACAGACACCTGCACTGGTCTCTGCTTTGCATTGCTCCTGCCTAAAAAGCAGCATCAGCACAATCAAAGCATTTCTCCCAAAGCAGGATGTTTCCCAGCACCAGTGACATTTGTCCTTAACCACATCCACCAGGACACCCCAGCTGCAGGTCCAGGATAGATGTGTCACACACACAGCTGTTAAGAGCACAGCTCTCTTTCAAGTCAATTGTTGACTGAGTTGATTTGATGTTCATCATTAATGTGTGATCTTGAAGCTGTGACAGATCAAAGAGACAGTTTTGTTCAGTCAGCAAGCAGATGTAACAGCCCAAAAAGCCCCCTCTCACCTTGACTTCTCCTTTTAGGAACAGATTGGATCCAGACCTGCCTGGGAACTGGGAACCATCTAAGTGTGCTGTGTTTGGCTGGGATAGAGTTAATATTTCTCCCAGTGGCTGGTGTGGGGCTGTGCTGAACCCAGGGCTGGGGACACAGAGATGTCACTGCTGAGCAGGGCTGACACAGAGCCTGTTCTGGTCCTCCTGCTGCCTCACTGGGGAGGAGACTGGGGGACATGGAAAGCTGGGAGGACACAGCAGGGCAGGCAAAGGGATATTCCAGACCACCTGACATCAGTTCAGGATAAAAAGTGGGGAAAGAATGATGAAAGGGGATGTTTGGAGTGATGGTTTTTGTCTTCCACATCACTGTTCCATGGGTGGGGCCCTGCTCTCCTGCAGGTGCTGATCACCTGCCCAACCATGGGAAGCAGGGAATGAATTCCCTGTTTTGTTCTGCTTGTGTGTGTGCCTTTGGCTTTTCCATTAAACTGTATCACAACCCACAAGCCTTTTTCTACTTTTTACCCTTCTGATTCTCTCCCCACTGGTGGGGTAGTGAGCAAGGGGCTGTGAGGGGCTTGGTGCCTGGCTGGGGTTAGACCACACAATCACAGAAACTCAGAGGGGTTTGCTGTGGTTCAGTTTGGAAGAGACCTCAAAGTTCATCCTGTGCCACCCCCTGCCATGGACAGGGACACCTTCCACTATTCCCAGGTCGCTCTAAACCTTGTCCAACCTGGCCTTAGACACTTCCAGGAATGGGACGAGACACCTCACTTCAAAATCCTTAGAGACTCCACGAAACAAAAGATAAACATAGTATAAGGAAAAGAGAGGAGCAGTGCTGATACCATGATTCCCCTGAAGAAGGCTTGGAAATAAAGCAGACAGTATCTCTTTGTATCTTCTCTATTTCCCTGTAAATCCCTGGGAAAGCACCTGGCACAGCCCCACAGGCAGCGCTGGGGGTCCCACGGAGCTCCAGTGACTCAAGCACTGAGTTTGTCCCACTGGAGCAGGATTTAGGGAGGGGAAGGGCAGATCCAGCCTGAGCTGCTAGCCTGGCCATGCTCTGGACACATCAGAGCTTTGTGCCAGGGATGCCCAGGAAAAGCCAGGCTTTGATAGCTGCTGGCAGAGTGCTCAGCCCATCCAGAAACACAAACAGGAGCTCATTCCCCCCAGAAGGCACACAGGGTGCCCCTAACCCACAGCCAGAGTCACTGGCCTGACAAACACGGAGCTGGTAAGTCTGGACTGAAGGGGATCTGCCTGGTGCAGTGTCCAGTGGCAGCACAGTGGGATGGGAACCAGGGAGGCTCAGAGTCCAGCCTGAGGATTTCACACAGCATCCTTACAGGTCGTGGCAGAGCAGCTGCAGGGACAGCACATCCCACAAGCTGCCAAACTTCTGCTCAGAATGCAGGAAAACTCTCACCAGACACTTCTCACTCACATCACGGCAATGGACTGAGCCCAAAATCTGTCACCTGGCATGTCTGGGGTTTAAGCACAGACTGCAATTTCTGCAGGAGGTTCCAGGGGAGCCTTACGTTGTCACGGATGTTGATGTCCGAGCCCTTGGCCAGCAGCAGCTTCACCAGCTCGATGTGTTTGTACTCCGTGGCCCAGATCATCGGCGTCCAGCCACCGTCGTCCTGGGCAGGGACAGCGGGTGACACACAGCACACACACAGCTCCTGTGGCCCCCAGGCAGCCCTGCCCTCCCCCTGTCTGTCTGCTCCTTCCCCTTCTGCCTGCACGGCTGCAGGTCCTGCAGAGCCCAGCCTGGCTGGGAGCAGCACAGCTGAGCCTGGAGTTTATTCCAGCTCAGCAGGCTGGCACTGCCTCTCCAGCTTATTCACGTACACTGACTGTCCAAAAGGCACAAGGAACACCCAGGGTGTGTAAGAGATCTTACAGAAACGCCCTGAGAAGCCTGGGGACCTGTTCTTGCCCCAGGTGCAGCTCTGTCTCACCCCACAGCAATGGGCAAACCCCACAGTGGTAAGTGCCAAGCTCAGCCCATCCCACACCATTGTCCATGATTCCCCAGCAGGAAAAGCTCAGAGACACCCTGGAGCAACAGGCTCCACAGCAAGTTCAAGGCCAAGGAGAAACTGCAAATCAAGGGGAGTTTCCCTGAGGTCAGTGAGGGATCCCACTCCCTGGCAGATGGGAGGGGCACGGAATTGTCACCCTGTGGTGATTTGGAGGTGTCCCCCAGCAGCAGGACTGTATCTGAGTGAGCACTGGGCAGACAGCACAGTGCTGAGGGAGTCCCTGACCTGGGCAAGCAGCTCCTGCCCCAGGGAAGGCCTCACCTGGCAGTTGACATCCATCTTCCCGTTGGAGAGCAGGTACTGCACCACGTCGTAGTGCCCCTTCTTGGCTGCCAAGTGCAGACACGTGGAGCCCTCAGCATCCTGCACACAAGCACAGAACAAACCCTCAGGGATGCTCAGGAACAGCAGAGAAGTTCCCAGATGGAGCAGAGAACTCCAAAAGTCTCCACCCTACTGCCAGGAGGGCAGAGAGCAGGAGCCAGAACCAGCTTTAAGCAGAGCTTGGGAGCTTTACACCAAAGAGGTGCCACCCTGCAGAGAAGGAAAGGGCTTTGCAAAGCCTGGGGAAGGTACCAGCCCCAAACCTTGGCAGTGATGCCCCTTCTCCAACAGCTCATTTCCCACTCCTTTCCATTTGCTGGAGAGCCAAAGGGAAGCAAAAATCCCTTACACAGGCAAAGTTGGCACTTTACATCAGAAAAATTGCTCTGTCTCAAGTTGAAATGCTCCATTCCTCATTCCTCCAGCTTTTTTGCTGGGTTGTGTTAGCCCAAGGCCTTATCCCAGCACCTGGCAGCAGGTCCAGGGCTGTGGTGTCTCTCTCCAGAGAGACCAGGTCCTCAGCCTGCTCACAGCCATCTGCACAGACAGGAGATAAAAAGCAACCCCAAAGGTTAAAAGGAAAAATGCCTCTGGGAGCTGGGAATGCAAGGCCTGGAGGAGATGGACAGGCTGTGAGTCATGATGGAGAGGAGATGCTCCCACCCTCACACCAAAGCTCTGGCAGCAGCCTGACTTTTATCAGGCATTCATATCCCAAGAACTTAGCACAGAGCAAGGCCCAGAGAGCAGGAAATCAGGAGGAGGAAATGAAAGACTGAAAATGAAATTACTCCTTCCAGCTAAATCCCTGGGAGCAATGCTGGAGGTGAGAGCTTTGGGATGGAGCTGATTGTGTTGCAGGGTGAGAGAGCAACTCTCTGAGCAAGGAGGGGACATCTCAGGTCAGGGATTGCACCACGAGGGCTCCTGGGGACACGGGAAGAGTTTCTACACCCCCATATGTGCCTGCTCCAGCTGAATAATTCCACAGCTTTCCCCTTGGATGGGCAAGAAGCAAGTGCAACTCCTCAGCCCTGGGAGAGCAGGCAGGTTTTATTGAAAAGTTTCTTCAGGTTTTGAGTGGGGTTTTTCCATGCTAATAACAGGACCAACAGCTTCATCCTGGAGGCTGGGGAGCCTCCACCCAGCTCCCTGCCCTGCAGTCCCAGGGCTCTGCACACACCTGCCCCAGCTAAGGGCTGGAGCTGCTTCCAGACCAATGCTGCTGCTTTCAAACAGAGCCTGAGGTGGTGCAAGAAACTAATTAACATCATAAACTAGCTACGATCTGAGGCTTCTAATTTGCCTTTGCAAGCTCAGAATTTATCTCCTTCCCTTGACCTTCAGAAGCACAAACTCCCCTCTTTTCTCTTCCACAGGAATAAATTGGGTGACGATGTCTGGGCTGCTCCAAGGTACCTGGGACAGTGGCCAGCACAAAGCCACACGTGCCCGTCCTGTCCTTTCCCCTTCCCAGCTCAGAACCAGCCTCCCAAGGATCCATTTGGGGCCTGGACTGGGCAGCACCTGATACCTTGTGCAATGCTGCCAGTTCCTTCCCAAACCCAGCCAGGAGCAGCAGGTTGTGACAGTAAGTTTGAATGGGGAGGCTTCCTGCGCTCCAAACAGCATCTGATTTATGGGACTAATAAATGGTCTGTGCATTTTCCAAGATTGCAAAGCAACCAGAGCATGCTAAAGGCAAAGAGACAGCTGCATTTTATTGTTTTCGTTTAAATTAAGGGGTAGAGTTTAAAGATGGGGTTCAATTTTGCCACTGCAGCATGACTGCAAGAACTCACACATCAGTCCTTTGGAAAGGAAAGCTTCCTCTGTCATTTTTCCTGGCTTGGCAAACACCTAATTACCAGCCTATTTTAAAACATCACCCCAAAACTCTTATTATGAGAGCCTACAGAGAAGGGAACTCTGAAATCAGCTCCACTGCAGTGGATTTGTGACACTAAGATCTATGAAATGAAATCCCCATGACATTTGGTGCCACAAACTAGAGGGACAAGTGGCAACACTTGCCCCAAACAGCTCATGGCCAGCAGAAAAATGAGATTATGACAACTCCAGCCTTCACTCCAAGACAAACCAGTTCATTTGTACTCAGCCTGGGCACTTTTACCCAAAACTTCAAGTAAGAAATGTTGGACAGAGGCTTCCTCAGGAGAAAAAGGGAAGGAATAAATTGCTACCTTGGGATCTACTAGTGCTCCAGCCTTGATCAGGTATTTCACAGTTTCCAGGTGGTTGTTTTCTGCTGCTTCCATCAGCGGGGTCCTCTGGTCCTCAGAGCAGGTGTCAATGTTAGCACCAGCCTGTTGGGAGGCCAGGGCAAGGACAAGGACAATTAGCAGAGGAAGGATGTGGGAGTAGAGATTTAATACCAAGATCTTCTCCTGAAATTTAGCCATATTAAGCAGGGGGGAAGAAGAAGAAAAAGAAGAAATAGAATGAGGAAAGAAGGCAGTGTAAGTCCACCTGCTCTAGAAACAGCACACACTGCCTGCCTCCTCTCCTGCCTTCCCCAGCCAGGAAGGAACTGTAAGGAAGCCAACAGCTGGTATTAAATAACTCCTGTTATTACCAGATTTTGTACTCCTTCTTTCTATATATTGCTTGTGTAACAATTTGGAAAAGTCAGCCTCCTCCTTTCTCCAGCAGCTTTGTTTTCCCTGGTCTATCATTTAGCCTACAACAACCAACTCTTCTCAATGTCACAAGCAGTAGGAACAACTTGCTGATGACAACAAAGGCAGGAGCTGTAAAAAGTATCCTGGGGGTTGGCTAAATATTCCTGTGGAAGTCAGTGGCACCACTTCCACAGAGGTCTCTGAGCATCTGTTCAGTTCAACCCAGAGTGCCTCCAACCAACACCTCACTCCTTTCCAAACCATGGCAATGTCAGGTTGGGGCTGAGCTCAGGAAGCACCCAAAGTTAAACCCAAAAGCTCTCAGGCACCCAGCTCTTGGTAGGGGGTGTGTGTGAGGCTCACACCTGTTCACAGCACCTGACTCAGGTTCACCTGGCACAAGGAGCTGTTTTCAGGTGCCTCCCACTGAATTCCTTTGGTTTGACTCTTTCCCCCAGCCAGAGCAATTTGAACCAGGGCAGAGGAGGCATTTCAAGTGGAACAAGCTGGGGCCATTCCCAGCCAAACACTGGGCTGCTGCAGAAGCCAGACCTCAGGGAGAGACAAGATGAAGCACTTTGGAAACAAACCAACCCTACAGATAATTCAATTGTTTGTGATATCTCACAAGTTTTGCTCCTTTTCCTCATTCCACTGTCTTCACACGCAGTAATTTCAGTGAGAGCAGCCAGGAAGGTCCATTGCTGCCTTCAAACAGTACCTGAAAGCCTCGAGTTCCAGGTGCTGAAATGCACCAGCCCAGCAGGATCATTTCCAAGGGCCAGTCACTGCTGCCTTCTCAGCAGCCCTTTAAGGTTTCCCAATCCCACAGAGTAAACAAAACACACCTCCAGACCAGAGACACCAGTACAAAAAAGAAAAACGAGAACTTTTTAAATGCTTATTTTTCTTCTTCACATTGTTTTGGAGCAGGCTCAACAACACCCCTACAGCTTTGACCATCTTCCCTCAGTTAGAATCCAAATCCCAGACAACAAACCAAACTTGAATCTTCCCTTCACTCCTTTCCACATGTGAGACGTTTATGCTGCAGAGGAAAATCCTGCAGGAGCTCCTCAGGTTTTGACAGAAGGGGAGACAGGGCCTGGCAGCTTCCAGGCTCCAGAGCCTCCCTGCCCTCATCACCAAGAGCAACCTGGCTTGGAGCTCAAAACCAAGAGCTTGGAGATCTCCTGCAGCCTGGCAGCACATCTGGCCATGCATCAGGCTGTGCTGGCACATCTGGCAGTGCCCAGCTCTGGCTGTGCTTAGGCACAGATCCCCCCTGCCCCACACCAAATCTTCCCCTGCTCCTTGCCTGGAGAACAGCCCAGCAGGACAATTCCAGTTGTGCCCTCCCCTTACTCTGCCCCACTCCTCTCTCAGCAAACCCTGGGGTTGAGGAGGTTTTTTACAGGACGGATTTTCCACTGCTGATTTCCATGTGGGGCAGATCAAAGCCCACAGAAAATGGTTTGTACTGGGGGCTAGAAGTGCAGACAGACCTGAATGAGCATGTGGCAGATGTCCACGTGGCCAGACTCGGCAGCAGCATGGAGAGGGGTTCTCTTACTCTGATGCTCCATTTTAAAATTAGGGTCAATTCCATCCACTGCAAAACAGAGCAGAGACACTTTCAAGCACAGTTCAGAGACTGAAGTGTAACAGGAGAATCATGTCTCAGCTAAAGGCTTTTAAAGGATGGGTTCCCAGCCCATCCTCAGGCCTGCTCATGTCTCACTGCACATTTCACCAGCACATTTCACCAGAAAGCTCTCAGGGCAGTCCCCTGCACATTCAATATGCAACAGCCCTCAGACCCAGAGCTTAGAAACACCAGGAAATTCAATACCTTTTTAAGGCATTACTATCTCTCCAAAGGCCACATCCCTCAGCTTCACAACTCATCCCAAAAACAACAAACACCACACGAGGATAAAAAGAGAAAAACTGCTGCTTGGTTTAAAGCAACCCAGAAATTGGGAACAACAAAGAGTTTGTACCAACTGGGCTCTGTCTCACCACTATTAACTGAAATTAAAATTAGTGATCCTTTTTGCACCCCTGCAAATACAGAGCTGCAACATGGATGGAATTTCCCCACACAGGCTCAGGATCTGGCCAGAGATTCCCACAGCTGTGCAGAGACTGACAGATGATGCTGACAGCCAGACAAAGATGTCTGGGCATGATAACATGTTGTGTATGATGAGGCTGTAGTTAAATATCAATGAATAACATTTCTGTGCTATTGAAAACAGGAACAATGGAGCAAACACTTGATGGAAAAAAAAAAAAAAAAAAGAAAAGGAACTAATAAAGGGCAAGAACAGAGAACAGAGAGCATCCAAAAATGTACAGCAAAGTACTGGAGTGAAAAGGAAGCATCCTGAGGAAACATTTTGTCCTTCAGAAGGGGAAGTTCCTGGGGAATATAGAAACAAGTTCAGCAGTACAAAGGTGATAGGCACCTCTGTGCCCCAAAACAAACCCCATGGTTGAAGGCTCTTCCCTTCTGCTTTCTTGCTGATGGGTCTTGGTTTAAATTGAAATCTATTAAATCTATTCCCTCTCTACTGGATGCAAATATGTACCCCAGGCATGGAGAGGGGATGGGACAAACCAGATGGAGGTCATTGTAGGGACACAACCAGCTGGTGTGGAGGAACCACGCTCAGATGCAGACACACGTAGGGAGCAGTGCACATTTCCCAGAGAGATGAAGCCTTCCCAGTGACACATCACCCACAGGAGCCTCTGCTCCAAGTCCCCCCCCATGGGAAGGTGACGTGGTGCCATGCTGGGAAGTGGCCGCTGGCACTGCCTGGCAGGAGCTGGGAGTGCTGCCAGACAGGAGGCCAGGGCAGGAGGCACCTACCCAACATCAGCAGCACCTTCTGCAGCTCCCCTTGCCTGGCAGAGAAGTACAGCTGCTTCGGGTGGAACCGCAGCTTCTTGGGCCTGCAGGAGCGGGGAGAGAGCGGAATTAATGCCCAGGGAAGAACAGGAGTGTCACCCCTCACTGCCACCCCTGGGCCTGGCAGAGCTCTGGGCTCATCCCCAGCGTGGGCAGCAGGGCTGGGGAGCTCTGCCCCTGTGCTCAGGTGAGACCCCACCTGCAGAACTGCCTCCAAATCTGGGGTCCCCAACACGGGGAGGACGTGGAGCTCTGGAGTGAATCCAGACAGGCCATAGAGATGCTCCAAGGGCTGGAGCCCCTCTGCTCTGGAGCCAGGCTGGGAGAGCTGGGGGTGCTCACCTGGAGAGGAGAAGCTCCAGGGAGAGCTCAGAGCCCCTGCAGGGCCTGAAGGGGCTCCAAAAAAGCTGGGGAGGTACTGGGGACAAGGGATGGAGGGACAAGACACGGGGAATGGCTTCAAACTGAAAGCCAGGAAATTTAGGATTAAATATATGAAAGAAATCCCTCCTTGGGAGGGTGGGCAGGCCCTGGCACAGGGTGCCCAGAGCAGCTGTGGCTGCCCCTGGATCCCTGGCAGTGCCCAAGGCCAGGCTGGATGGGGCTGGGAGCAGCCTGGGACAGTGGGAGGTGTCCCTGCCATGGCAGGGGTGGAAGTGGATGAGATTTAAGGTCCCTTCCAACCCAAACTTTCTGTGATTCTCTGATACAGCTTCAGTGTACAGCTCCAGAAAAACAAATTTCCAGAAGGAGTCTTTAAAACTTCCAGCTCCAGCCCGAGACAGTCCTGTTCCAGTGAGGGCTGGATCTGTTCAGTGCTGCTCAGCAACACATTCTGGGTCTCATTACTGTGAACAGGAGCCCAGAAGTTACAGCTGCAGCTGAAGAGCCAGTGGAAAACGAAATCCTCCAGAGAAATCAATAAGACATTTAGAGCTGTTACAGTTCTCCCAAATCTGTTGGGGATGACTAATGAGTGAAGTGAAGAAAAAAAAGCTCAGAGTTGGACCAAGATCCAGAAAAGCTAAATCTCCTTTTCACTAGGCTAAGAAACTTTGCTGGGAACCGGAGTGACCCCAGTGGTCTTTTGCTTACTTCTCAGAGTCCAGGGCAATCAGGGCACTTTCCAGGGTTTCTTTCACTGGTCCCTGGGTCAAGCTAGTAGTAGGCTTTGGAAAAACTGAAGACCCAGGGATGTCAAACCCTTCAGCAGCTGAACTTTCTGGCTTGTCTTCCTCTGACAACCTCGTCCCAGTGCCACTGAAGAGGAGAAATGAGAGATAGCCAAAGCACAACCATTAAAAATACACAACAATGTTTCTCTTATGCCAAAAAAGAAAAGCAAATGCATTTTAAACACAGATAAGTGTAACTGAAATCAAAACCCAAAGCAATATATTTGACAGCTTTTTTGGTAAGAACTTGCCCAGTAAGGAATTGCACTGCCCTCTGACTACATCTTGATGTACTCCATGCTACAGGAGACCAAGGCACATGTGGCAAGTCTTAAAGCCACCTACACAAGCCCATATGGCATGGGAAGTCAGAGCAGAGTTCAACACAGGGCTGGTTTGATTTGTGTTTTCCTCCTCTCACGGGTGAGAGTCAGGAGCTGCAGATGGGAATGGCTGTCACTTAGCAAACCTGACAACAACAACTAATTCCACTATTATTCCATTCCTAACAGTAAGAGGAAGGAATGGTATTAACTCCTGAACCCCCCAACCTCCAGAGCCTCTGCCTCAGCTCTGGGGCAGCGAGCGACCCAAAACAACCCTGCAGATTCCCGCAGCTGAGCCAGCCCGGGCAGCACCCAGCTCATCGGGAGAAGCCCAACCATTCCTCAAAGTTGAGCCCAATTCAAACCAAATGCTGGTCTGGCAGGAGGTTTGAGATCCCCCCGAGCTCACCTCCCCGTGGTGGTGTCGGCCCTGCCCTCCACAGCGGCGGGTTTCTGCTGCTCGTAGCTCAGGGACACCGTGGAGGTGGTGTCAGCCTTGGCTATTGTCACCTCCTTGGCCTTGGAGGCCTCCTCCCCGCAGTGAGGGCAGTAGCTGGTGTCGTTCACCTGCGAGGCACAGCTCTTGTGGAAGCGGTGGGAGATGCTGCTCTCGGGCTGACACTCCATGAAAGTGCCCTTAAAAAACCACAGAGAAGGAATTCAGCCCCTGCTCGGCCCGCACCTCGCCCCTTCACATGCTCCATGCCACTCCTCTCACCACCTCTCTCGGCCCTGCTGCGTCCAGTACAGTAAAGCAAGCACTGCCACTTCTTTAGAAGAGAACAAAACCAAGGTAAAGGGGGAAAAACTCACTTGGTTAAGGACTGCAAAGCAAGATTTGGAATTGTGCTTGGGAAACAGAACAAAGAAGTCCCGATTTCCAGCTCTTCCCTCTAACGCTTGAAGTTCTCGCTTGTGTCTCTAGAAGTGCCAGTGCACTGTAAGGACGCCCCCAAAACTGGAAAAGAAACCTTCAGACCTGTGCTGAGCCAGCATTAAAGCTACCTGAAACACAGCTTACACAAAACATTCAAGAACTGCATGAATCTGTCACTGACCCCACTGTAACCCAAATTATTTGACTCTTCTGCCTGGACAAGCCTAATTAACCCAAACAAGCTCGCTGCTCATGCAACAAACTGGGCAATTCCTCTTAAAATTATTTTCCCTTTCTAGCAAAGTCCCTGCAACTGCTGTGCAGGAGCCCAGAAGTCCTGCCTGTGGTGTCAGTGCTGCCTGAAGCCCTGCTGTGCTCTGGGTTGGTGATGGTGGCACAGACAAACACTCCAGGTTCACCTCTGTGCACCAGCACACAGCACTGAGAGATGGAAGAGAGTGCAAGGAAAGGCCAGCCAAACCCCCTCTTCTCCTGAATCCAGTCTTCCCAAGCAATCTAATTAACTCTATTTCAGCTTTGCAAATGCCTTGAAGGGGTTTGAGGATTTTATCTTCTAAATGATCTTTGACTCAGCAAGAAAACCCAGGACGACTCCACTTACTACAATAATGCTTGAGACAACTGCAGCATCTTTCCTTGAGTCATCTTGAAAAATACCAGCATCACACAATTAAGCCTCACCATCACTCCATGAGGCCTCAGTTGGTGCCCTTCAGCTTTATCCACAGGGAAAGCAGGGCACTGACCACTAAAGGACTGCACCAAGTCCCTTAAAAGCCTCAGTGGAACAGGTGGAAGAAGCAGCAGGACATCACAGAGTGATTTGCGTTGGAAGGAACCTTAAATCTCATCTGGTTCCATCCCCCTGCCATGGGCAGGGACACCTTCCACTGCCCCAGGCTGCTCCAAGCCCTGACCAACCTGGCCTTGGGCACTGCCAGGGATCCAGGGGCAGCCACGGCTGCTCTGGGCACCCTGTGCCAGGGCCTCATCACTCTCAGATGGGAGAATTCCTTCCTAATATTTAATCTTTCTAATATCTAATCTAACTGAGATCTCCAACACTGCCTTGGTCCAGTGCCATCACTCAGGTTCCCCATCCTGAGGGAACACAGAGGAGGGGGCACAGTTTCCCCTACAAACCAAGCTAAAACATTTTTTGGATGTGATTGATCCGTACACCAAGAAAAACAACAAACCCTTGTTCCAAAGAAATTCCAAAGGCAAGACTTCCAGCATGTGAAATCCCCTTGGTAACACCCCTTGAGGGTCTCCAGGAAGATAAAGGTGATGATTTCAGCTGCCCTCACACACATTCCTATTGAAAACACCTCCTGATGTGCTGTGGAACGAGGTGGGGCTGATGCCAGGAAGTCAGGACACCCCTTTAGGGACCATCTCCACCTTCAGCTTCCAGCTGTTGCAACAGGTACCCCCTTCCCTGGATTGAGAGCACGAACTTACTGCAGTGCAAAAGTATCCACAGCCAGGGCAACACTGGTGTTTCACCATCCTCCCTCTATGGTCCTCACACAGCACCAAAAGCTGGACTTTGTTAGACGGGCGCATCAGTTCATACTTAACCACACTGTTTGTGCATCGGCCCAGCTGGAACAGGAGAAATTAAAGGCAATGAAATTACTGCAGACCACAACACTCCCTGTGCTTGTGCAGAGGAAGATTTTGCACACTGCCTCGAGGAGCCCTGGCTTGTTCACAGGAATTCAGCTGTGTGCCAGAGAGCATTAGCAGTGCAGCAGGAAGCTGTGAAAGCTGCTCTCAGGAAGGAATGCATCATTTACTAACTAACATGCATGCGCACCCCGAGTCATTTGTTCCTTGCAACAACAACAACAAAATCATAACTGGAAATAGGCAACAGCCAAGCAGCAGAAGGGGCAGTCCCAGGGGCCTGACTCACACAACACACACTCTCCTCTTGCCAGGAAGAGCGGGTGTCAGTGACCAAGAGAAGGAGACCATACACACTAAATCTTGTTACTGCTCAAAACTCCCAGTCACAGGAAGATAAAGGGAGAAATAATTGCTCCTCATTGCCAGCAAAGTTATCGTCTGTACTGGTTCCAGCACTGGCCCCTGCCCAGACCACAGGGATGAAGAGCCAGGCTTTCATGAGAGCTCAGCTAAAGTCATGTTTGGAGCAGGTTTTCCAAAGGATTTCACCAATCTACAGCTCTGGGCTTAAAAATCAGAGGATCACAGAATCATGGAATGGTTTGGGTTGGAAGGAACGTTAAAGCTCATCCACTTCCACCCCTGCCATGGCAGGGACACCTCCCACTGTCCCAGGCTGCTCCCAGCCCTGTCCAGCCTGGCCTTGGGCACTGCCAGGGATCCAGGGGCAGCCACAGCTGCTCTGGGCACCCTGTGCCAGGGCTTGCCCACCCTCACAGGGAAAAATTTCTTCCCAATCTTCACCTGTCCTCCTTAGCTTGAAGCCATCCCCCTTTTCCTACCATTCCATGCTTTCTTATGGTCCACCTTGTCCTTTTACTGGCAGCAGGTTCCAAAATTGGGGCTCTCTGTCCCCAGCCAGTGTTCCTTGCTCTGCTGCACCAAGAGGGAGCAGCATCTCCTACAGCCACCACTGTTCCAGCCCAGCTGTCACCTGCCAGCAGGACACAACACTCTTTGTGTCTGTTTCAAGCTCCCCTTGATAATAATCTTGCTTTCCCCAAATACCTGGTAAAGGAAATTTATAAACTAGGAATATCAAGGTGAAAGGCTGCTCCAAGGAAGGGTCCCTTGGAGGGAAGGTGTAGAATTAATTGTGCTCATGACAGTCAGGGACTCAGTGCCACAGACTGTCCCTCTGCTCCAGCCAAGGATTTGCTGCTTTTTCTCAACAAAACTAAACTTTCTCTCTATTTATTTTAATTCCACCCCTGCAGACGCAACACCCCTGTAGGAAAAGAGAATGGATTTTAACCTAGGCTCATCATCTACCCCAGCATCTCCAGTTCAGCTTTCCCAAATTCCAGCTGCAAAGACTTCTGTGGTTGGAACACCTTGGCCAGACTGATCCCTGTCACCACCCCGAGCCCAGGGGCTGCAGTGGTGGCACAAGGGGACCATTGATCTTTTCCTGAGGAGGAATTTTACTGAGGTGAGAAAATTCCATTGACATGTGGAAAGCTGCATTACCTATGTGAGCAAGACCCTGCACTGCTATGCCACACTTTTTGTTAGAAACCCTAAAACAAGTTCAACATGATTAATTGCTATTTTGCAACCATTAGAGAGTGCAGCAGGTGCTCAGAACTATTTATAACACTCTCCAAGGACATGACAGTCTGGAGAAGCCACTATTCACGCATATAATATTCCTCTAACATCTCTGAGTCACTTATCCCATTATCAAAAAGAATCCAACATCAAGCATGGTCTTTGCTGTTCCTCCCTGTGATTTATTCAGGGACAGAACTGTCAACTCACCATAGCCAGGAGCAGGAATTCTTTCACACACCTTGTGTTTGTTTAGAAACCCTGGGGTCCCCCCTGTCTATGATGAGTCTCCCAGGACATTTTCTCTTTAATGAAACAATTTTGCCATTCTTTGGAAATTCCTCTCTCTACAGGTATCAGCACATACCAAGAGAAGCAGAGCTGGTCTACAAACCTGATTATCCCTTTGTCCCTCCATCCACCCTTCTCCTGGAATCCTAGAGGAGAACTAGGGATATTCTCATTCCTTGTTCTACCACTGGTGAGTGTGAGAGTGCTGTAGTGAGGCTGGAGCTGAAAAGGAACCCAAGTGCCTCCCAGTAAAAGGAGAATCCATCAAGAGCATTCCTGTCCTGCAGTTCTCACTTTCCAGATTTTTGGAGTGGAGTCACTTCTGCCACTTCCTTCCACACTTCTGGAACCAGCAGAACCCAAGCAGCCCAGCTGTGACCCAAAGGCATCGAGTGCAATCCCTGCCAGGCAGTCAGACTGGGGCTGCACAGTTGCCAGGACATGGAAGCTTTGGGACAGAAAGAGGAGGAGAGAGAAAGGCTGGGGCAGCAGAGGCCATGCCAAGCTCCTGAACTCAACACCCGGCCACAGAAAGGTTTGCAGCAGTTCCTTCACAGTCAAGGCAAACCAGCTCAAATCCTTGACTGGATTTTCTCTCTCTGATGCAGGTTCCTGTATTTGAGCCCATAGGACCTGAAGTGTGAATGTCACATCAACCAGATCCAGCCACACAGGCCAGGACCAGCCTGAGAGAACCACCCAGAGCCTCTCCCAGTGCAGACACAGCAGCTGCTCCCTTCCCAGAGGCCTCACCCCAGTGCTGGGACAGGCACAGAGTGCTGAAACCCTCAGCTGAGCGAGGGGGACAGTCCTGCCATTCCTCACACCAGTGGGTCCCAGTCTAGCAGGCCCAGAGCCCCTGCGTGACCCCACACGTGCTCCTGGCACAGCTTTTCACTCTTTGTGGCCTTGTCCTCAGCAGGAAAGGCTGTGGGGAGCTAAAGGACAGGCTCCTACCTCGTTATCCACGCTCTCCGTGGCCATGCACTGGTTGTTGGCTAACGTGGTGATCTCTCTGCTTTTGGGGGTTTCCATTCGACAGCTACACAGGGGCACTTCCTGCAGACCATCCACTTCCATTGCTTCAGGGCCATTGGAGAGACCTGGGGCACAGAAAAACAGTGAATTAAGTGAATTAACTCCAGTTCTCTGCCAGGAGAAAGGATTCAGTCCACCAACACCAGCCATGTCCTGTGACATCTTCCCATTCCATGTCCTGAAATGCTCTCCAGGCTTTAGCACCACCCTGTAAAAGAGACCCTTTTACGCCAGCTGGAGTTTGCAAAAGCCTCCTGCACTTTTCCCAGTCCAGCCACACTCAGCTGAATGTGCTGAGATCAAGAGTGATAAGTTAAGATCAGTTTATTCTGAGAAAACCTCAAAAAGGCAAAGCAATGAGGTGCAGGTTTTTATCAGCCTCTCTCCCCTCCCCACAACACTGGGCTCTGGCACCAGGAAATTTGCAGGAAACCACTCAGAGCTAGAAATTTGAATAGGCAGTGGAGTGATAAATAGAGATGATCACGAAAGCACAAACTCCTATTTGCAAAGGCTTATTACACAGATGGGAAAACAAAATTCCTGGGACTGTTTGGTGTCAGCCAAGCACAAATTGCTTATTTTGGAAAGAGAACAAACCAGTGAAAAGAAAGCAGCAAGATGCTCCAATGTTCTTGCCTTTTCCTCATCTCTCAGATGTTGAACACTTACAAGCCTATGGAAAGGTGGATGAGGGCTTTCAAGGAGGGTCACTGTGGGAATATTCCTGTGGTTCCTCTGGATTCAAATCAACTACTGGGTTCCCCAGGATTGACAAACATTGGCCTAGTGACAAAAGGGTTGATTCCAGTCCTACCCTCCTCTTCCAGGCCTGCACCAAACCATCTCTGCAATGTTTGCAACACAGAATCCTCTGGCCTTGGGGCTGGTTCACCCTGAAGCTTTTATCCCGAGCTTTCCTTGCCCACTGCTCTGGGATTGACTCACACTGAGAAGGAAGCTTGCTGCTATTTTTCAAGCTTTTGAATGGGAATGGAGACTTCTCTTGCTGGGAGGTTTTGCAGATTTAACCTCATCCCTGAGGGAGATTCCTCTTCAGCTGCCCTGGCAATGGCAGCCTTCCCCCAGAGCATCCTGCCCGTGGCTCTGACCCTGCCAGCCCAGCACAAACCCCTTTCATCCCATCAGGAATTCCTTGAGCCAACAAGTTACAAGCCCAAACCTAGCAAAGGGATATTTCAAGACATACAAGGCCAGGGAAAGTCCTCACTGTTTTCATGTAAAATCCTGTCAAGATCTTAAAGGTTTAAGAGTTTTCTCTGGGAGCACAAATCACAAAGCTCATTCCTTGCCTTCCGAGCTGTCATTTCCCTAATCTGTTTGACATCCAGAGGCTCTGGTGAAAGCATCCCTCATCCCTCCTGACCCTCCCTTGCTGGGGAAGGCTCCCACCCTCTCTTTGATGTGCCTCTATCAAAGGAGCCAGACAAGCTTTGAGGGAGCAGTGGGGCAGACGGGCGGATGCAGCCAGGGGATGCTGGATCTGAGGAGAGTTCAGCACTGGGAGCAGCAGCTGGGGCTCAGCACCCAGGGCCCAGCACCAGCCCCTCCTCCTCCAAGGGCTGAACGAGCCATTCCTGAGGGGCAGCAGCAGCAATTCTGGGGGGATGCTGATTCAGCATATTTCAGGGAATGGAGAGGAGCTGCTGAGTGGGACAGGAGGGCTAGGGCAGTACCTTGGACCCTTGGTGAGAGTATCCCTGAGCTAACGTGCCTCACTGGAACTGGGATCCCATCTACAGCCTCATTCCATCCCAGCACCCTCCCTATCCTCACCCACATCCCCAGCCTCACCCCCATTCCAAACCCATCCCCATTTCTATCCCAGCCCCATCCCTACACTCATCCCCATCCCAGCCCCATCCCTATTCTCATGCTCACCCCCAGCCCAGCCCCATCCCCACCTCCTCATTCTCATCCCAGATGCATTCAACCCCATCCCAATCTCTAATGCTCATCCCCAACCCAGACCCATATCCAGCCTTATCCCCAATCCAGACCCATCCCCATCCCCTTCCGTATCCCAACACTCATCCCCAGTCCAGCCCTTCTTCCCCCTCATCCCGATCCAAATCCCTAACCCCCATCCCATCCCATCCCAATCCCTAAATCCATCCCATCCCTAATGCTAATCCCTAAACCCATCCCATCCCTAATGCTGATCCCTAACCCCATCCCATCCCTAATCCCGACCCCTAACCCCATCCCATCCCAATCCCGACCCCTAACCCCCATCCCATCCCAATCCCTAACCCCATCCCATCCCAATCCCGATCCCTAACCCCATCCCATCCCAATCCCTAACCCCATCCCAACCCTAATCCCAATCCCTAACCCCATCCCAACCCTAATCCCGATCCCTAACCCCATCCCATCCCTAATCCCGATCCCTAACCCCATCCCATCCCTACTGTCGATCCCTAACCCCATCCCTAATCCCGATCCCTAACCCCATCCCATCCCAATCCCGCCCCATTCCCGTTGCTCTGCGCTCTCTGTGGCCGCCAGGGGGCAGCCGGGGCCCCGCACGGCGCCACCCGCCGAACAAAGGGACCCCAAACCCTGCCCCAAACCCGACCCCAAACCCGACCCCAAATCCAAACCCGACCCCAAACCCTGCCCCAAACCCGACCCCAAACCTGACCCAAACCTGACCCAAACCCTGCCCCAAACCTGACCCAAACCTGACCCCAAATCCAAACCCTGCCCCAAACCTGACCCCAAATCCAAACCCGACCCCAAACCCGACCCTGAACCTGACCCCAAATCCAAACCCTGCCCCAAACCCAAATCCAAACCCTGCCCCAAACCCAAATCCAAACCTGACCCCAAACACAACTTCAACCCCAAACATAGTCCCAACCCCAAACCTGGCCCCACATTCAAATTCAAACCAGACCCCAAACCAAGCCCTGTCCCCAAACCCAAACTCAGACACAAACCCAGCCCAGACCCCCAACCCAGCTCCAATCCCAACCCCAAACCCAACGACGACCCCAAGCCAATCTCCTCTCAAACCCATCCCCAACTCCAGCTCCAACCCCAAAGCCAAGCCCAGGCCGAGCACTGACCTCCCGCTGGCGAGGAGAGGATCCCCTTCACGCGGAGGTCCAGGGAATCCAGGGACACCTCCATGTACTCCATGCTGTTCTCCTGGCTGGGGCCCTCCCTGCTGCCCAGCGAGGGTTTGTAGGCTTCAGCACCTGGGTGGGAACAGGGGGTTCACACACACCCCACAGGAAAAGCCACCCCACGGCTGCGGGGCCGGGCAGGATCACCGGGGAGCCATGAGGGCAGAGCACACGGAATGTGCCACCACCACACCTGGGCATGGCCAGGCACTGCTCTGCTCACACTGAGCTTCCACCTCCACCCGGGCAGGGACCAAGAAAAGGGAATAAATGAGATGAGTTCAGGCTCTGCAAGGGCACAAGGAAGGGATGAAGCAGGGCTTGAGCAGCCTCCTGCCCCCAGGTGCTGCACAGGGCTCAGGGACACGCTGGCCAGGCAGAGCCAGCTGCAGCTCAGGAGGAGGATGAGACAGGTGAACCCAGCTGAGTGGGAGGGGGACACAAAAAAGTAAAGTTGTGCCTCGAAGTGAGCAGAGCTGGGAAGAGATCGTGGGAGAGGGAACTGACAGTGTCTCTGCACTCCCTTGGCTTCACTTCTCTCCTGCTTTGCTCCTGCCAGTCCAGCCTGGCCAAGAGAGCATGGTTACCCTTCCAGACCAGCTCCCACCTTACTGAAGGGGCAGAAAACCAGCCTGCATGTGAAATGCAGAATTAGATATTTGCTGTGACAGGGATAATGGCACCCTGGGAGGAAGAGGAGTGAGTCAGGTGAGTGACAGAGCAGGGGCTGAAAAATGGTCAATTCACTTAGAAGTACCAAAAAGCTGCTGATACAAAAATGACCTTTTTGCACTGAATTAGCAACCCAGAAAAATAAAAATAAATCTTTTGGTGGCAGTGGATGTATGACACTTCAGCAATGAGGCTGAAGGCACAGCTGCACTATCCACTTTATCTCTCCCATGTTGTTACCTTTCCCAAAGAAGAAGCATCACATCCAACCTGCACTCCTGCCTCTCACCAGAGCTCACTGAAACCTTCTCTGGTGCTCAGTGACTTGGGACAAACAAGAGGGACCCCCTGAACAACACCCACACTTGAGATGGGCCCGAGGCAGCTCCTTCCAAACATTGGGTTCTTCCACAAGGAGCAAAGCCAAGCTGCACATTCCAGTCAGCTGCACAAGCACCCACACAACAGCGATGGAGCACTATTCCAGGATGGTTCTTTCTTCTCCTTCTGCATCTAAACATGCTCCTTGAGCTCATGGGACAGGAGTCCACATGGACACGTCACACAAGCCCAGACTGCTCTGGGTGGGAAGGGACCTTAAAGCCCATCCCATTCCCACCCCTGCCATGGCAGGGACACCTCCCACTGTCCCAGGCTGCTCCCAGCCCTGTCCAGCCTGGCCTTGGGCACTGCCAGGGATCCAGGGGCAGCCACCCCTGTGCCAGGGCCTTCCCACCCTCAGAGGGAAAAATTTCTCCTGTATAGATAACATCAATTTCCTGTCTTTCAGTCTGAAGTCATTCCCCCTTGTCCTGTCACTATCTCCCCATATAAAATTCCTCTTCCTCCTTTTTGTAAGCCTCACGGGGCCTTTTTTGGGATACTCTAAAATAAATGGATTGCTGAACAAAATGAAGTTCCTCCAGCATTCCAAGGACAAAGCCACGAGTTCTGCTGTGACAGTGACACCAGCAGCTCCTGCCAGTGAGGGGCAAGTTCACAGCCTGGCTTATCACAGCCCAACCTCAGGAAGGAAGAGTGAAACTGCAGATTTACAAGCCTCAGGTCCTTCCCCCTGCACCTGGGAGGCTCAGTGGGGTGGAATTTAGGAACAAAACCCCTTTAATTACCTAGCACACCGCCTTGTTTCTTTTTATTCCTCCGCCTCCTCTTGCGGGTGGGTTTCAGCCATGGACTGTCCGTCTTCCCTTTCCTCTTCAGCAGCTTCTTCTTCACACTGGACTCGGAGCTCTGAAGAACCAGAGAGGCCACGTGCACGTCAGGCATGGTGGCACCAGGGTCCCTTTGTGGAACAGCCCTCACCCAGCTCGAGCTGTGTGAGAAGGACCAGGGCTTTGAAACCAAGGGGTGCTAAGATGCCTTTATAGCACTGAAAAGGAAACTCAGGCACACGTGTGGGTGGATTTCCTGTCTGTTCAGCAGGGCAGGCTGCACTTTCTCTTCCATGGAGGCCCTCACACCACGCTCATGAGCAGCACTGCAAGTGGGCAGGCACGTGTACACTTCCAGCTTCTCCCAAAAAATAATTGTAGAATCACGGAATATCCTGAGCTGTAATGGACCCACAAAGACCACCAAGTCCAGCTCCTGGTTCTGCACAAACACCCCACCCTGTGCTTCAGAGGGTTGTTCCAACGCTTCTTGAGCTCTGGCAGTTGGGTTTTCAAACTAAAATATTCATGTTTCTCCACAAAAAAAAACCCACTTTGCACTTGAAGGGCCACCTGGCAGGGCTGGAGTGGACCCAGGGGAACTGAACTCCAGAGCAGCAGAGCAGACCCCTCCCTGAGCCAGGAACAGGGCAGCACAGACCAATCATGCAGCAAATACTCAGCCACATGTATGAATCTCAACAGACTTATGGGTTTTGGTTTAAAAAAAATTCAGTTGTCTGGGGTGGGGTTTCAAAGTCAACATCAGAACAGGAATCAGGCACCTCAACCCTACCAGGGTTTAATATATCAATCATAAAATTCATATTCAGACTGAAACTCCCAGCTCCTGATGCTTATCCAGCTGTCAGCAAAGCCTTGGAAAAACCTCCAGGTACCACCACCAGCAGCTCGATCAGGCCCCACCTCCACAGCAGCTGTGCCAGGCTCTGCTGTCCCAATGAGGGAACACATGGAGCCAAGTCCTGGCTCTCCAGGGTGTCTGGGCTGTCCCAAAATCCCTGAGAGTGGGCTCAGCACGTGGCTTTACCCCAACTGCATCACTCTGCTCGTGGGAGAGAGCTTTGTGTGTGAGCCAGTCCTGTCTGGGAGCTGAGTGACCCAGCAGAGCTCAAACCTCTGTCCAGGACATGGAGATCCCACCTGGGAGTTTGGATGTGAGTTCCAGCCCAAGTCTTGGTCTGGGCTAACACAACAGACTGGCCTGAGCCACCCAAAATATAGCCAGGCTGCACACCCCTGCTCCTCCTGGGCTGCTGCAGTGTCACAGCACAGGGAACAAGACCCTAAAGAGCTTCAGGGATTCTCTTGATGTGTTTTTTGAGCATGATTCTACCTTCAGCTCAAAACATCAAGGATTTTCTCAAGGTGACTGAAGAGTTGGGTGCCTGAAATGCTGGCTCCTCAACTTGAGAGGCTGTGGAAGGACAGTTTTTAAGGAAAACGGAAGGAAGCAGACAGAGACATTCAACAAACAATCTAAATTAAAAAAATCATCAGATTCTCTTCACCAACCATCTAAAAATAAAAAGAAGAAATCCCCAGCAGCTGCTGAAAGTCTTGACCTGGTGCTTTACAACCAAGGTCCCAGGGAGAGGAGGGTGTCTGTCTGTCTGTCTGAGTGCTGTTTGTCTCTCTGGTAAGAGCTGCTCACCAGGAATAGTGAATTTAGGCTGTGGGCTGGGCCAGTGGATCTGGAAACAACCCCACCCCAGCAGAACTTCGGGCTGGTGAGAAAGCTCTGCTGGCTCCTACCAGGTGCCAACTGTGCATCTGAGGAACTCAGGCACCCTTAAACACCTCTGCTAACATTCAAATGATTAAAAGCAGTCAACACCTTATTGAAAACAACAAAAGCTCATTAGTTAGCATCAGAAAGTAATTAATTGTGCCACGGATCAGGGTTAAGCACCTTGTGGAAAACAATACTCCGTGTGTGGGTGGTTTCAGAGAATGAGTTTTGTCAAGGAGACTTGAAACTGCAGGGCTTTGGCTTTGCTCCCTCTCTCTCTTTCTGGCAGCAGTGCAAAGGGGGAAAATTATTATCAACAGGCCACGGGCTGAAAAACACATTTAGCAGCCCAGCTTACCAAGTCAGACTCGTCTCCATCCTCCTCCTCCTCCCCTGATTCTACTGACTCTTGCTCTTCCTCAGACTCGCCATCATCGATCTGCAGCCACCATTTGCCCAAGAACAGAATGGGTCAGTCAGGTCGGGTCTCCCAGAAGAGAGCATCCCCCTCCACCCTGGTGATCCCAGCAGAGCACCCCCACCATCCTGCTGTGCCCCACAAACATCAGAGCAACCCAACCCCAGCCCCAGCCTGCACATGCAACTGAGCTCAATGAATTCCAATCACATCATGGAACACCCAAGGGGATGGTAGACAGAGAAAAAGAAAATTCAACTCCAGAATTAAGTCTTCCAACTAAATTTCAACTTCTTTGATAATCCCAAACCAGCCTCATGCCTGTATTGCATATCAAAATTTGGGGGAAAAAAACCCAATTCGATTATTTTAGCGCTTTTCCAAGCAAGATTGGGAAGATGTCTCCTATTGGTTCAGGGAATCCCAGAACTACACGTGGTGGGGGTACTGCAGAGTGGATCCCAGAACTGTGTAGGGCTGGAACTGGTGGGGGGAGATGGGGAGACCCTCACAGATGCAATGGGAAGCAGGAAATGGTCACAAACAGCCTCTCTACCATTGCTGATCCTTCTGTCATCTTGCAGGTGAAAAAACCCCTAGAAATTGCTTCAATCCATGCCCCTCCTATCCCTGACACCCCATCCTGCTCCTCAGGCCCTGCTCAGGGCACAGGCATCACCTTCCTGGCGTTGTCTGCGTCCGACGCGCTGTCCTTGGAGGTCCTGTTGTCATCCACAGGGAACATGGCTGCCTGATCTGCTCCATGATCATCTTCCTCTTCCAACTCATCCGAGTCCTCCTCCTCAGAGTCCACATCTATGCTTTCCCCGTTCACATGGGGGCTGCCATCCCCCAGGTCCTTGTCACTCTGGATGTCGCCCAAGCACACAAGACACAAAGACAACATCAATTCCTGGGACAGAGCAGCTGGATCCATCCCAGATTCTCCTCTGTGCTTGGAGCTCTAAAGCTTGGTTCTGTGTCCCTCCAGAGCTCCTGCCATGTGTCACCTCACCCTGCTGGACCTGGGGACCACAAGGAGTCATTCCAGACTCACGTGGTCACATGGGGTGTTAGGGGAGAGCCCCATTCCAGCACGGAGGGGCAGCTCCACCAGGGATGCAGGAAGGTTTCTAGGGAATGAAAAGGGAAGTTACATCACACTGGGATTTTCATATCACTCCTTGAAATCCTAGCACTGTTCTCCTTGAATTCTAAGACCAAAACTGCAGGACACAGGTCACAGCAAAAGCAGAATTTCATCAGGAGTGAATCCATGTCTAAACTTTTATAAATAACCAAGTGTTTTTCTGTACAGCCTCAGGCAGCAACACAAGACCTTGAAGACCAAGCCAAAAAGGGGCATGCTTGAAATCTCTCCAGTTGCCCAGGATTCACAGGACAGAAGGGGAACATTCATTGGGAAAAGTTTGTTGAGGAGCTGGTACCTGAACAGCCCCTCTGGATTCCCAAAGCAGCAAGGCTGCTCTGGGCAGGAAGCTGCTGTCAGAAGGAAGAGGAGACTCAGAAGGGAAGATGCTGATCCCAACAAGCCAGCACATCCCTGCACCTCCACAGGGTTTGGTGTCCAAAAACAGGGACATGTAAGTGACAACAAACACATGCAGTGGGCTCACTGCTGCCCTTACCTTGGCACCCACAGAGGAATGAGTTATGCTCTTAAACATCTCTATCATTGTTCTCTGTTTTAACACTTTGGTCTTTTTCTTGGGAACCAGGCTATAGGTTCCCATTCTCCGTTTTTTCTTCCGAGATACTGCAGCAGCTGGAAAAGAGAAGCAGAAGGAACCCAAAGTTTGCTCAGGAATGAAAGGAAGAGATAGAGAGTAGGG